TTTACTTTTTGTTCCAACTTCTGAATTAAGGCTCATAACATCCTCCAATGATTCTGTAAAATGCAGCCTTTTGGTGTAAGCCACTTTCAAACTGTGTATTAAACTGATGGAGAATTCCAGGTGTGGGAGGGCTCACAGAAGGCCACTCGAGCTGTATATGAACTGAAATGCTGCCCCCCTAGACAGGAGTCTTCCATTGACAAGATGGACTGCTGCTTTTCCTCTCCACAAAGCTGAGCATCTCATTGACTCTATGAAATGACTGGTTTTTGGTTTTTTTTTTTCATTGCTGGACCTGCCAAGTTTGCATCCTTTTCTTCATGAGAAGCACTGGAACAAACCCAAATGAGATCTCCTTTCTTCCTCCCAACAATTTCCTAAGTGATTGAAATTTGATGAGTATTATGAAAAAGATCGAAAGTCAATACATTTGAACAGGCCCTGAACTTTTTTGTAACTTCTTTTCGAGGTTTAATTGCACCACTGATGCCGTTCTTGCCACTTACTTGCACGGTCACCAGAGTTTCATTTGGTGGGGGTATAAAACAGTCCTGATGCCTGACTCAGGTTGTCTGAGGTGCTAGGAGGGAATCTCTGATAGAGAATGAAATGCAGTCCAGGGCAGAGAGAACTGAGTATTGTTCAGAGCCTTTCAGGAATGACGGTATAGATTTCTTAGGGTCTTGCGCAGGGACATCAACCATCAATGACTTAAAAATTGTTAGATTGCTTTCCTAATCGTCTTAGAAGATTAGAAAATACAGAAAAGTATAAAGAACTTTATACTAAGTGTGGCTAACTTAACATACTGGTATGGATCCTTGCAGTCTTTTTTTCTGGAATTATAAGCATCTATAAAATTTACTTATATAAAATTTAATTCATTATGCATGTATTTCTTATCCCTTTTCTAACCTAATATTTATGAACATTTTCACATTTCATTATTCTTTGAAAAAGGGACTTTTAAAATAGCTGATTAGTTTTCTGTTTTATGAATACATCATAATGTATATATCTATTATACATTTAGATACATTCTAATGTTTCTCTATTATAAATACAGGTTATCAGACACTCTTATGCAAATCTGAAATCGGTTTTCTAAAAACTTAAAGTTTTGTCATAACTTATTTAACTGCAAAACTTGAACTGATATTTATATCTCTAAAAATGAATATTCATATATTTTACTATAGCAATTGTTAAAATTACCAGGCACTATCCCAGACCTACTCAGGTTATTTCCTTTTGATATCCTAAAATGCCTTAATTCTGAAGCATATCTGGCTGGGAGCATTTCAGGTGAGGGATTTTGAGCCCACAGTGCAATGATGCAGATAAACATCACTACTCTTGCTACCAGTGTCTAATAGTTACTGAGCACTGAACGTGGGCCAGGTCCTCAGAGGTACCACGTTATTATCTCTATGGATCACTAGAAAGTGCTAAAAGGCAGGGACTTTTGTTGACATCATTTGTTGCTGATCACCCAAGTGGTAGGGCGGAGCTAATGCACGGGCCAATTTATGGCGGCTGTGCTCCTTCCCCACACTTGGGGCAGAAATCTTAGCGCAGATGTTCCACGACTCAATGATGGGGTTATCTCTTGATAAAACTGTGAAAATGAAAATACTGTTTAGTC